ACATCGCACGAAGTATCAGAAGAACTATATTCCAGGCAGTTAAATGCTGTAAAAAAATGAATGAGATCGGTAATTCATTACAGGAAGAACTAATCAGCTTCTTTATGTTAAATCTTTAAAAATTGTCAAAGTTTCGACTTGTCAATTTTTAATTCCTTGATAAAGAGCACTGGTAACATCATCAAAGTTTACACGTAAACATATTTCTAAAATATCTAAATTGTCAATTTTCACCTTTTCAATCTAACCACAATTACAGTGCGATAATTGTTGTTTTTATTACGTGGAAATATGGTCATCGTTAAACATGACATATTAATTTTTAATTGATTTTTATTGACAGCATTGGATATTGGTGATTCAAGTCTAGGCATGGTGGTTATCTGGGAAAGAAATAGCTCCATCAAAACTGTTGGCAAGAAAGAATTATTGGACAAGGTCCGTTCATATTAACACACAGAAATTTTTTCTGCTTATAACAGATCTCTTTACTGGTACTCTTTCAATTCACTCATAATTGTTTCAATATTGGACCCTCTTATAATGTCTATGATTTAAATGCCAAAATGTCAAAAGTTTTTGGATTCTACCTTTTTGGATTCCAGAATGCTTTTGGAAAGACTATAAATACCAAACTCATGTTCAATTGTAAGGCAGATTTCAATTATTGGTATACACTATGATTTCAAACAGGACCCTATCGATAGATAAATTTTAAGCAATTGTAATTTCTTTGCTTGTCTTGCCTCAAAAATAAAAAAAATGTGAAAATTGTAGACTTTTATAAAATAAAATGTGATTTTTTAGTTTTGTGGTACATCATTGGTAAATAATGAAATACAACTTCAGAACATTAAAATGGTGCTTTTAAACTGGTATCTGTATATAGGTCACTAAGGCCCTGAGTCGCCCTAGCTGTAACCATGGTAAAGTTTGCGTCCCTACGTCTTCTTCAGAAAACAATGTAGACTTTACATCAGAGGGAGGCAACAGTAGCGTGGGACTAGAAAATAATGAAGACAATTCACTCCAAACATCAGCTCAGTGTCAAAGCAGTAAGGAGGGAGATTCAGAGAAAAATGAGAAGGAAAAGAAAATGTTTAAAAAAAGTACAACTGGAAAAAGGAGTCATAGTGAAATGCTCCAGAAATCTAAAGAGATAGAGCTGAGTAGTCCACATGTTCTTCATAAGAGGGTCAAAATGACCTCACTTTTAAAATCTGTTCCTTCTATCCTAGTGAAAGTCAGCAGTGCTCAGGGTACCCAGAGTGAAGAGGAAAAAATCTCAAAAACTGCTCCTTCTAAGCAAGTTAATGTCAGTAATTCTCAGAGTTCTCTAAATAAAGAGGGAAAGACACTTCTAAAACCCGAGCAGACAAAAGACGGTTGTTCTCAGAGTTTTCCAAATAGACAGGAAGAGCCACTTCCAAATCCACCTCTTGATGAAAAGAAAGACCGCAGTTCTGAGGAAATCCAAAATAAAGTGGGAGATACATGTACTCTCCCAAAACCAGCTCCTGTCCTAGTGAAAGGAAACTGTTCACAGGGCACCCCAAGTAAAGGGAAAGACACACTTCCAAAACCAGCTCCTGTCCAAGTGAAAGGCAGGAGTTCTGAGGGAATCCAAAATAAACTAAGAGAGACTCTAGCAGAATCAGCTTCTTGTTCAGTAGAAGATAACTGTTCACAGGGTCCCACAAGTGAAGAGAAAGACGCTCTCCCAAAACAATATCCTGCTATCCAAGTGAAAGACGGCAGTTCTCACGGTTCTATTCTAAGAACACAGGAAGAAACCTTGTCCTCTGTAAAAGAGGATAAAATAATTTCTACAGAAGAACTGAAAGATTCAAAAAGTGAGTTAATTTAAATTGAACTCTCAGAATGATAAAGCCTCTTGAGCTTTTATCTATAAATAAAAGCTTTGATGAAATTTAGCAGATTTATGTTAACTTGTAGTACCGTATATACTCGCCTATAAGTCGGTCCGCCTATAAGTCAGTTGTATTTAATAAGCTTGCATATCAGATGGACTGACCTCATATAAAACCATACTTTTGATAGCCGCCTATAAGTCGGACAGTGAGTTTTAGACCAGCGATTAACTCCCAAAAAAAACGACTTATAGGCGAGATATACGGTATGTGAATTTGCTTATATAGTCCGTAAGTACATATTTCTAAATATACTGCATGAGGAAATGGAATGGCATACCCTGAATTTTGTTTTTATATCATGTCATTATATTACATGTATATATGAATGACATTAAATGTGCCATTTTCAGAAGTAAACAAATTTCCAAACAAAGGGAAAAATAAAGTGATTACAGAAACGGAGATAGAGAAAGTGCTGGAGGATTTTAGTTCTAATCTTGGTGAGTGCTTCTTACATTATTTTGTCTTTTGTATGAATGCATTATTGATATTTTTTGCAATTATTGATTTTAGAATGAAGTGAAAAGAGGCTTTATTGGCAAAGGCATCTTTTCAGGTCTTTCTATCTCTCATTATACATGTATTTTAATATCTTGAATGTTTGAATTAAAGTAATAATGTATTTTTTGAAGTTTGAGGATTCCTTTTTTCAGGTGAAGAATCACGTGAGACATCCTATGCAGCAAAAGGTGTGTATTACCATGGTAACCAATATAAACAATTTGTATTTCACTTTAATGAACACATTATTTTAACTTCAGTGGGTTGAAATCAAGATGGCCTGGGGCCATAAAAGTTAGACGAGCTCCCTTTTGATCTCAGTCTCACTTTTCCACTATAAATTCTGTAAATCTGGAAAATTTTACGTCGATTTTATTTTGCGAAATTCGGGTCAAAATGGTGTTGATTAATTTTTACGTGTCAAAATTTTGCTAATTACCACTGCTTTGTTTACATTTTCTCATCATGCTTATTGGTAATTTATTTTTAAGAAAAATATTTTTGCAAATGCAATGAACTCGCAAATTTGCTAAAAATTTATCTACAGCAAAATTTTCCAGATTTACGGTATAAACAATTTGTGTTTCACTTTAATGTACACATTATTTTAACTTCAGTGGGTTGAAATCAAGATCTGTTGTTTGGTAACTGTATGTGTTTTTGCTAAAAAATATCTTGTTTATTTTAACAAGCTTGTACTGTTCATTAATTGGGATGTTTTGCTTCAGACAATTTACTTTATCACTTGTGATTATTGGACAATCTGGTTGACCATTTGTAAAAGTGTTACTCAGGCTGCATTACATTTCCGGAATTTTTAGTAATTATCAACTTTTCATTTCCGACTTTTTTTAGTTTTGTTTTCAATTCCAACATTTTTCAGATAGTACCTATATTAACAGATTTGAAGACTTTACCTATGAAAATTTAAAGGAATACATACATGTATAATAAATAAATAATTGAAATTCAATTTCTAGTTTTTGTAAATTTATCAATGAAACTACTGTGGCAAAATGTAGGCAACTATCTGAATTAAAGTTTGAGAGATTGACCCAATGTTTACCGAATTACTCTGCCCAGATGTATAGCAAAACAAATAAAGTTCTGTGTAGAGATGCGTAATAAATGTGTTATCAACCGGAGTAACTGAATAAGAATACGGCAAGTGACTTTGACATAAGTTTGGTGCTGACACTGACATTTATTTTAGTGCACATCAAATTAGGCGAAAAAGTTGTATGTTCATTGGATTCTTTAACCTAGACTTAGTTATACATGTATGCATATATGTATATAATAAAATTAATAGATTTTTAAAATATAATTTTAATCAATATTTTGCAATAAATATTTTTAAGATATCATTTTCTCTCACTAGGAAAACATTAAATTGCTGCACAGGTGAATTCCGGAAATAAAAACAAAATTATGTCGGAAATGAAACCAAAAAATGTCGGAAATGAAATAAAAAAAATTTCGGAAATGCCATGCAGATTTACGGAAATGAAATGCAGTGGTTACTGATTATAACAAAAACTTATAATCTAACAGTATCTTAATTTCAATGGTACAAATTAATTATCAAGAGGTAGAAACCAAAATTATATCCCATTTTAATCTGCATGTATAAAAACTCTATCTAACCCAGATCTACTTTGTAGGCAGACTTCGTTTTTTTTTTAATTTTCCAGTGACTTTAAAGAGCTACAGAAATCCAAACCGAAATATGGAAGAAGAGCATCCAATCTCATCCGGTGTATTAGGACAACGATATTCCAGGCTGTTAAGTACTGCAAAGCTGAACGAAATCGGTAAGAAATCTGTTAAATATATAATTAAACCCACGATTTGTTTGAACATGATGAAGATCTTCTTTTCAGCTCTTTGGTTAAAATCACATATTTTCAAGGGGTCAAATTTTTGTGGTTTGAGGAAAATATATTGGTTCGTGGGGATTTGGTTTCGTGGTTGACGAATTGTTAAGTAGAAATATATGTGAAAAAATGCATTTCGTGGTGGACATAAATTCGTGGGTATCGTCATGACTCGAAAATAACGAAAATTAAACCCCTACGAAAATTAGTGATTTCACAATAAACAAAAAGTGTAGATCTTTCAGTAAGCAGGGATGCATCTTCTAAAATTATGAATTTTTTGGCCCCTGGGGTTTAGGTAGTTGAGGTGGGCTCTACTGATGTCAAATTTTCTTGAAAATCTTTCTTTACTTTTGCATTAAGCACTCCAGATAAACAAAGTGCAATTGTTATAATAGCAAGACTTCTTCTTCCAAATTTGTGAAATTTGTGGCCCGAAGGTCAGGGTTGATAACTCCTACAAGTAAGAGCCTCGGTTAACGTACCTACGCTCCAGTCACAGCACCAAGTCAAAAGTATCTCGCCGTGAACCTCTAGCATGCTGGAGTAGGTGTCTGATGTTTTGACGGATTTTTGCATGCCAGTCTGATACATAATAATGTTATCCAACTATTTTTCATGAC